CTCCTCCAGGTCATTACTAAAAAGATTGAACAGAATCAGTCCCAGAACTGAGCCCTGGGGACTCTGTTTGTCACCGGCTGCCATCCTGATGATTCTTCACTGATAGTCACTCTCTCCTTGCTGTCTGTCAATCATGCCCTAATCCATTGGACAGTGCATGATCTATCCCAAAGCTCAACCATTTCTCTACTAGGATATCATGTGGCACTTTCTCAAAGGCCTTGCTGAAATCCAGGTAATCGACATCCACCGTGTCCCCTCTGTCGAGCTACCTCAAGACCTTAATGATAATTAATTCCACAAGGTTCATCTGGCGGAATCTGTTTACAAAATCTGTGTTGTGTGGCTGCCAACCTCCCATCGCTATTTAGGGTTTCTGCAGCCTTCCCTATTATGAGCCTTTCCATCATCTTTCCCAGAATGGATGTAAGGCTAACTGGCCTGTAATTCCCCATATCCCCTTTGCTATCATTTTTGAATATTTGAAACCACCAATGCCACCCTCCAGTCCTCCGGAACGTCTCCTGTTTTCCACGAGGCCTCAACAAATGTGAGAGTACCCCTGCCAATTCCTGAAGTACCCTCAGGTGTAGCCCATCAGGGTCCAGCACCTTTGTAACATCCAGGGCCCTGAGGAACTCCTTGACTTCTAGGGAGGTGACTTCAATCTGCAGCCCCTGAACCCCAATCACATCTAGCCCCCCCTCTTTGGGGAGGACACAGAAGCAAAATAATAATCTCTCTCTCTCTCTCTCTCTCTCTCTCTCTCTCTCTCTCAATCTCACCCCCACCCCCACCCCCACCCCCACCCCCACCCCATCTACAGTGCTTTCATCTTGGCTGGGTCAGTGGGGTGGACTTGGGGTTCTGCTGGTGCACTGGCCACACTGAGACCTAATCTCTGTACCTGAAGTGATGTTTAGGTTCCCCAGTCCCCTGGTCCTGGTATATGTTAACCTCCATGCTGAGGGCACTCTCTCTGGGGTGGCTAAGGATTTCATGGTCTCCATGACAGCCAGTGGACTGGCCCAACATGTCCTTGGCCCAACACATGCAGCACGGGATGCCCTGGATTTGGGAGAGTGATCGAAAGGTGAGGGACCCTTGAATCTGTCCACTTGTTATGAACAGATTGCTGCCTGTTGTCCATAACAAGACAGCAAGTTTTCTTCTGCACAAAGATGGGCTGTCCCCAGAGGGGGGTGGATGGTTTCCAGAGGTTTCTTGGATGGGGTGGGGAGGAATGAGGTTTCCTGCTGATATGGCTGACAGTCTGTCAAATCCTTGGTCAGTCCCTGGAATACAGACGAACCCAGGCAGTGGGAGCAATTATGCCTGAGTGTCCTCTCTGTAGTAGGACTCATAGAGTCCCATGTTATACCCTATGGCCGAGAAAGATGAAATAAAGGGGGAAACAGCTTGAGGGCAGATGGAGGAAAACTCCTAGAGGATGCAATCAGGCCCTGCTATGTGCCCCCCATCAAGTGTACTTGGAGGCAGTGAGAGTGGCAAACAGAATCGCCTGCCTCTAGAAACACAGAAACAGAGTCAGAAAGGGTCTCCCAGGCCATCTAGTCTGACCCCCAGCTCCAGCCGGCTCTGCTCATAACATGCCTGCCATGTGCATGTCTAGCCTCTCCTTGAACACCCTCACCCATGGGGCCTCAACCACCTCCCATGAAAGCCCATTCCACACCCTCGGGATAGAAGCCAGATCTCTCCCTGCCACCCAGCATCCAGGCCCTGCTAGAGCCTTTTCCCTTCCTCTCTGGCAAGTAGAGCAGTGGCTGCAGCAACACCACCCGCTCATCCCTCAGATGTTGCTTGGAGTCCCCAACAAGCAGGGAATGGGGGGGCAGCAAGAGCCCAAGCACCCCATTTAGTCCGCATATGGTTCAAGCAGAATCCTGCAAGACATTGGTAGTGCTGCTGCAACAGAACTTGGGCAAGATGCATTCCCAAATACTGTTCATTTCATTTCATTTCATTTCATTTCATTTCATTTCATTTCATTTCTATACTGCCCAATAGCTGGAACTCTACATTGTCATGCATTGGGCCCAGTGAAGCCAGTACATTTTCCGTTTCAGACCAGAAAGGACAAAATCACTTCCTCTGGACATACAATGGGAGGAAAAGAATATGAATCTCTCTGTGTTTCCCTCCCACGCTGCTGATATTCACATGCTTTGTGTTTGGAGCCTTAATGGCATTACCTAAGCAGACAACAGCTAGATTTTCCTTGCAAATGTTCATGCATTTGTCTGTGGGATAGAGCTAAGTGCATTTTCTGAAAGAGAAGCTTCACCACTGGGCCTGTCTTTTATTATGATAGCACATTTTGGTCTCCTGGAATTATGGGCTGAAAAAGCACTGACCTGATGACAAGGCATCTCAGCTTACCTGAGGCCTGCTTTAACATTCCAGGTCAAAACATAAATTGATATTGCCTTTTTCTTCACACTGTTTCTCTGGTTAGCCGGAACTGTGGGTAAGCTGCAAAAAGAAAAGAATAAGGGAATGGTAAATAATAATAATAAAACACTGATTAGTTAGTCACAGTTGCTACACTGAGCTTATCAGAAGGAAACACCTTCCTTTCCTCTTAGATTAAAGTGACTTCGGGGAAATATGAACAATTTTGTACTAATATATCGCTATACTGCAGAGTCTGGGATTTAACCCCCCTCCTCCCCCACTGTGGCTTGTATTATTCTTGCCTTTTCCTTTCCTTTCTTCTTTTCTTCTTCTCAAAGCTCTTTTCAGATTCTTGTGTTTTTCATGTTGCTTCTTGTTACTGCCTGTGTCTCCTTTGAGGGATATTTTCAAAAACCTAGAAAGACAATGGATTTTTTTAATGCTATGCTATAAACAAAGCGGCAAAGCTTTCATCAACTCTTTGGAATTTTAATTCTTTGTGACATGAAATGGTCAACACTTGGTGTACCTTTAAAACAATCTGAAGAATTGGGCTTTCAGAACAAAGTTGCTAATTCTCTTTTAGAAAGAGTGAGTATCCTTGCAAAGGAGGCTTCCTTCCTAAATGGGAAAGTATAACAATGATTCTAAGGATACACATGAATAATAGAAAATACTGAATTATTTCATTAGTGTAACAGCTAAATACAGGGTTTTTAATTTTATTGTGTATAGTATCAAATGCCATAAGTGGACATGACAGCTTATAGCCTTATGTAAGAAAGACAATTCTGTGCCTGAGGAAGTAATCTAAATTTGGATGAGGAAGAGGTGAAAGAGACAAGAGAGGGAAAGGAAGGTGCTATGTAAAGAGCTATTCAAGTGCGGTGGAAAGGAGAAATAGTCCTCTTTCCCCCAGCAAAGTACATGTGTGCCACATTTGTTCATTTATTTAGAAATTTGCAAGCTGTTTTTGAGGAGGACACAACCCTCCCTAGGTGGTTTGCAGAATTTAAAAAAAAACCCATGAAATAATGCTAAAACAATAATAAAATCAAAATGAGCAATGGAAATTAGATAGTACCCTTTAACCAGCAGTATCCCATAAAGCCCTAACTCAGTTATAGGCCAAGAAAACTCAGTACATCTATGGGGCCTGCTTGAGGAGCTGTGAGGCTGGGACCTGGTGGACATCAGTTGAAACAGAGTTCCACAAACTGAATACCATTTCAGTTTCTGAAAATGTACTGGTACAAGAAGACAATGGGCTGGATGCAGATTCAATCATGCATAGAGCAGCAGACCCATTGAAATCTTGTTAGTCTTGATTTCATTGGTCTAGTCTATTGATTCCAATAGTCTTCTGTAAGTATAACTAAATCTGGATCCAGTCCAGCAGATAGATATGATCATTTGTTCTTATATAGTATTACATCACTTTCTTGACGCATAGCGAAATCAAAGCTGTCTGAAGAACACTGAGGCATACGAGCCAATTCCTATTCTGTATGATGTCAGGCAAATCCATTCCCCTTTCTTTCTTCTGATTGCCTTCTGCATTTGCTGACCACATGAACAGTTCTGACACAGAACTACAGTAATTCCTTTGAATCAATGGCCATTTTAAAATTCAATTCTCCTTTGTTCCAAGCTTTCCCTCTCATCATTAGTGATCCATTGAGTTTGGCCTTTAGGCCCAGTCTCCCTCTCCTACTCAGAAAAGCACAATGAAGAAGAGCTGGCTTGTATGCTCAGGGCTTGCCCAGAGGCAAGGATCCAGACCTAACGGGAAACAAGATGTTCACTATTAGAAACAGATCTCCTCTCCTGCGTTGCCATATGGTCTTCATCTTCATTTCTTGGGCTTTGTATGCCTCTGCAATGAATGAGGCTGAGTCTGTGAACCTCCAGAATGATTTGCCTCATTCACAGCGTATGTCCTCCAGCCTTGGCAAGCTGGCATCTGCTGCTCCCATGCACCGTCGTCATCTTGTATAGGGTGCAAATGAAATGTCTGGACCAAGGCAAACGCATCCCCTCTTCGTGGGTGTGTCACTTCATGTTTTGCCTGCTGTTTATTCCCTCTCTGCCCTTATGCCGTGCTGCGCTGCCCTGTAACCCGTGCAGGTCGTTATACATGGGAACATGCATCAGTCGTTTGCCTTTGGGGGGCCACTGCACACTCGCAGGTCCTCCGGGGGCATTTTGGCAGGCTTGGCATGATCAAGGGACGGGAAGGCAATTGTGCCATGGCTGCAGGGTGCCTGTCAGGAGAAACGCTGGCACCCCTGCCATCTGACATGCGATGCCCTTGTGGGCAGGCAAAGGCTGCTGACATGCACCCCAGGGGAGGGGAGAGGCGCTGCCTTTGTCCTTGAAGGCTCCCATCACTGCCACTAATACCATTCCGAGCTGGGTGACCCTGGCGGGGGAGGGTCTTCCTGCTGTCCCAGATCAACCCTGTCAAAGGAAAGGGCTCTTTGCAAATATATAACAATGCTCCAAGTCACCTAATCTATGTACACAGAGCACACATTTCCCCGGGATCCTTTTCATGATTAACAGCTCAGGAATGTTGGCAGTTTCAGAGATTGAGGATCACAATGAGGCCTTGTCGATGATCAGTAATGAAGCCGAATTGTCAAACAGTTTACCTGGGGACGACCTGGATGAGTGCCTGGCCTATCCTGGAGAGCTCTGCCAGCACCTCTGCATCAACACTGTGGGATCCTACAAGTGCTCGTGTTTCCCAAGATTTACCCTGCAGGATGATGGGCTCAGCTGCAACCCAGGTGAGAAAATAAACGCAGAAAAAATGAGTACAGGACTGGACCCTGATAACGCTGCTCTCATAGGTAGCTTTCTGTCATTTGCGGAGGCTAAATGTGTATATGCAGCAGCTGAGGACGGAACACTCAAATGGTCCTCAGCTAAATGCATTTCTTTATTTAATCCACTTCTCTGCTGCCTTTCAAGGCTGCATTTTTACTAAGGTGATTTTCAGTGTAAAACATACAATGCAGTCTAACTATAACAGGTTTGTGACAAGAAGTTTCTGAGTAGTCTTCCAAGGTAACCTCATGAGTACATTACCATAGTCCAGCCTGTGTGTAACTAGTACATAAGCACAGCTCTTAGAACCTCCTCCCAGAGAGATGGTTTCTATGCCTTGTTGCATGACCTTGGTCCTGGCAGAGGGAACTGCCGCTCAACCTGTGACCAGGCCTGACCAGGCATTGCTGTCCATCTCTTTCAACTGATGGCAGACCCAAGGAGAATCCCTGAAACAATCCTCCTGCATAGCCTTCCTCTTGGTGCCCAGTGGCCAGGGGTGATGTCCTGGACTGGTTAGCATGCCTGTCAAGTCCCGGTCTTTCGCCATATCGTCTCCAAGGCTCCCCCCCACCCCCTTTTACCATACAATGCAAGACTGTGCCAAGCAGAATCACCAGGCTCCAGTTACCCACCAAGGGGACCCCTCCTCTTCTGCGTCTGATTCTGTGAAGTGGAAGTTCTACCTGGACTGGGACATGGTCCCACACTAGGGATTGAGCTTGGGACCTTCTGCACGCAGGGCATGTGTTCTGCCTCCAAGATATGAATCTTGGGCTCATCCTACTAGTGGCAATAGTACATCATGTTTAGCTTTAATCCATCGTTGTATTTTGGTTCAAATTTTCACACTTGCTCTGCCTTTACTAATGAAATGGTGAATGTTCTCTAAACATTTGCAGTATGTACGAACTTCACCCTCAGCAAAATCAGGGGAAATATACGATATGAAAATAAAACTGATTTCAAATGTATTTCATTTGTGCTGGCTGTCTTGATTAGGAGCTTTTGCTGTCTCGAGTATTAACCAGTCTACACCATTTTGGGGCATGGCACATTCTAGTAGGGGAGAACCAAGTGATGCTATTCTGCTTTTCTATCCTGCTTTGTGAGAACTTTGCTGTTGGCAGCCCCACGTTTTCATCAATGTACTAAGAGATAAGCATTAATTGACTGTTCCTGTTGGTATGATAAATAGGACATCAGTTTAGATGTGCTGTAATTAATCTCTGCATTTACTGATGTAACAATTCTGAACAGCTGAAATTCTTCCACCAGCATTACTACCATCTTGTATTATTCTATAAAAGGATTGTTCTCTTATTTTGCAAATTTTGCAAAGGTGAAACTACAGTGCAGCATGAGATTAAAGGGTTAAATGCCTTTTTCAGGCTTGTAAATCCCACTCCATTTCAAGCAGGACAACTTGACTAATTAATATAATTCTGAGCTTGCAAATTAAGTCTTGTGGATTTACACAATTCTTTGTGATTATATTCTGTCTCTAAATGTGTGCTGTTAAAAATGGCAGAAATATTTGTCTGATTTCTAAAATTTGGGTATATCCAATGAAAGCTAAGCAGTTAAGTAGCACCATTGTTTTAAGTGGAAAAGATCTCAACACATTTTTAACACTCCAAATAAATCAATGGGGTTTTCATAAGCTCCCTTTCGAATGGACCACGTCCATCTTTGTTGGCGCTCACAGCATCACATCATAAAACGATCCTTACAGTGCCTGGTCCGCTCCATTTTTGGGGCCTTCCAGGCATATTCAAGAATGCAGAAATGCCAAAAGCAGGTTACAGATCTGGTTATATTTTAAATGCTTCCTTTTTTACAAATTTATAGTGATGTTCCTATTTCATTTCATAAGTGCCTTTCTCACTTCTCTATGCAAATCCATCACTTACTGATGGAAAATTGATGTTCTTGCAGTGTGATGGTTTGTGTCAAGTGTAGCAAGGCCCTTCTGGTGATCTTGTCCCAGAACTGACTGGTCATAATCCTTGAACTGCTTCAGCACATTGAAACTGGGGGTCTTCTATACATACTTCTATCAAACTCAGAATATCTTTTATCATTGGTTAGAGAAACGGGACTATGTGTAGAATTGAATATGTAAAAAAAGAGAGAGAGAGAGAGAGAGAGAGCGTGATGTCGACCCAGCATATCTGATGTCCTGAGTAATTGTTGTTTTTTTTTAGCTTTGGATTTATAAAGAAAATAATAAAATTTGTTTAAAAAAAGAAAGAAAGAAACTGGGGGTCTTCTGTGAGTGTAAGTCCTGTGCCAGACGGTCCTCCTGGCCTTCTCTGTGATAAGGCCCCAAATGTATCTTAATAGTTCATCCGCTATCATAGCATTTATGATACAGTTCAGGCATGTTGCATGGCATGGGTTGCATCCTAGATGCATCCAGTCCAAGGAACTGCAGTGCTAAGGCTGAGGACACCTTGAACAGGTCAGACCAATGAGCGTGTTTGAACAGCCACCTTATACTGAATCCCAACACCAAATGACTTTGTACTGTTTATTCTGTTTCATTGCAAGCTGCACGTAAAAGCTCAGGTACTGTTCAGAAAGTCCCACTTGTAATATTTTCTGGTGAAATCAGAGAAATATGGTGATGCCTTATAATTTTAAGTCCGTTTTCTTCTTGTTTATTTTATGCATGTATAGACCTTGAAGAAGAGTTTGAAAACACTGCCCTAGGGGACAAAGCCACTTCTGCACCAGAAGTCTTGAGCAGCCAGCCTGTACAGGAAGCCCCAAAGATCCAGCAGGTAGAAGAAGATAAGTGCAAGGGTAAGTGTAAGAGCCAAGCTGGAGGTGTATATTTTTTTCACAAACCATAATAAATTGCAAAGCTTTCGTGCCTGTTTTTATTTCCCCACATGTTTACACATAACTTGAGCCTGAAGAGGGAGATGGACAGAATCTCTGAGGGTAACTAATGTGCTGAGGTAATTTGAGGTTAGCTTCCAAATTCAAGGTTATCGCAATAGGCTGTTTAGGCAACACAGCTGTCTGCGGCAATTTCAAATGCACAGATGGGGATGAATGACACAGGTGTGTTTGTCTATAAAGAAAGGATTGTACATAGTGATTAAGGTGGGGAGAATAGATTGTTTGTTTTCACATTTCACTCTCTGGTGCAATGACAGGGATGATAATTAGGGGAAGGAAGCCTTGGAACTTTAAAGAGATTTTGCTTCTCATTGATGTTTTCTGCCTTTTGAAACATTGCATTTCCCAGATAATGGTCCCTGCAAGCACGTGTGTAATACTGTGGAAGGGGCAGTTGTGTGCTCTTGTTTGCCTGGATTTGCCCTCATGTCAGATGGGGTTTCCTGTGAAGGTAAGTGAATGCTGAATTCTTTTCTACTCTGTTTCATAGGTTGAAATATGTTTTGGCAGCTTCAGACTGTCGTCTGTCTGTCTGTCTGTCTGTCTGTCTGCCTGATTTGCATGAGTGGTTCAAGAAAGCCACATCCAACCTCAGACAGTAGAAACAGTGACATATCAGTCATGGAGCTATCATCAATTTGTGGACAGGCCATTGTTCCATTTCATGTTAGAGAGCAGCATGAGAAAGGTGAATTTAAAATGCAAATACATTATTAATCGATTAATAGCATTTATACACAATCCTATGTCTAGATTCCAGAATGATAAAAATGAAATGGATAAAAGAATGGGAACAATGGACTAAAGACAGAATAACATCAACAGTGTGGCTGGTCATTCCACTTGTGTTTGGATTGTCACCTTTGGCAGAAAGATGGAATGTAAATTAATTAAATAAATATGCCCTTTACAACTTCTTTATTATATCGCTGCATGAACTCATGCATAATTTCTTGTGCAAATATCTGTAAAGCAGCTCTATCAGAAAGAAAAATGATGAAGAAGCAGCAGGAAAACATGGGAAGGTTACACATAAAAATGAAGCTCTCTGGCTGTTTAACAACAGTAATAAATGCAATAAAATACAAGATAGAATAATACAAGAATAAAACATCATCAAACTGCACTGAAATTTTCAAACCTCATTTTGACAACCAACAACTAAAACTAGTCCATACTCCTAGGCCTGCTTAAAAACAGCTACCAATACCTGCCTCATCCCCATGTGCTATCTGGAGTTGGCAAAAAGGGTGGTCTTAACCTTGCACTGAAAAGATAATAAAGTTCTTGCCAGGTAAGCCTGGGTCAAGGGAGACTATTCTGTAATTGGAGGGCTATCACAGACAAAGCCCTGTTCTTGGCTGCCACCAGCTTAGCCTCCTTTGAAGGAAAGCCTCAGATGTTGAGCATAGTCTTTGGGTACACTGTGGCTGGAAGCATTGTTCTTCCAGGTGTTGTGGTCCTAAGCCATGTATGGCTTTAGAAGTTAAAACCGGTACCTTGAATCAGGCTCAGAAGCACATAGACACCCAATGCAGGAGGCCAGAACCAGAGTTACATGTTTAGACCATCTGATCCCAGTTATAAGTTGGCTTTTGCATTTTGCACAAGCTGCAAGATCTGAACTGTCTTCAAGGGCAGGACCTGGAGATTGCACTGCAGTAATCTATTGTGGAGATTACTGAAGGTAGGGTATAGATTATTGAAGCCAGGCTGTCCTATCCAGATAGGAACATAGCTGAACCACCAGCTGATAGAAGCCACAAAGGTGGATCACGGAGCACCCCAAGTGATGAAGCACCCCTGCTCCTTCAAGGACAATGCAAAACCATCCAGAAAAAGGTCTGGTCAGAGGAACCACCCACCAACAGCATCTCAGTCTTGACTGGGCTGGGCTTCATGTCCGTTAGCTCTCTTGTGGTCCACTGTCACAACCAGGTATCGATTCAGCACATCCACAGTCTCACCTGCTGAAGATGAAAAGGATCGATAGAGCTGCATGTCATTAGCATACTGAGGGCAGCACACTCCAAAACTCCGGATGACCCCACTCGGTGGTGCAGTTGTGCAGAAATCCACACTTTTCAGTATTTTGCAATGCACTTCACAACTCAACAATGTGTATATTAGGGGAAAATGTATCCCCAAATCCATATATTAAGGAAGGATGCACACAAGTATGCGTGTATGGGAAAGCACGCACGAATATGCACCGCAAAATTGCACACACCAGGAAACGTGTTTATTAGGAGAAAAGTGCGCAAAGTATTTTATGTGGCTTTTTTGTTCTTTTTTGCCATATTTGCAAATTGATTTGGAAATTGACCAAAATTGACCTATGGGTGGGAAAGTTTTGATTTTTCCTTACCAAGTGAAAGAATGTAACTAGAAATGACTGAAGGATATTTAAAAGTTCATTGTATTTGAAAATATGCTTTGAAAGTCAAGCAGGAAACTGTAAATGCCCTTTAACTTATGAAAAATGAAAACATGTCACACAGGAAATATTAAGATATAAACAATTTATAAAGAATAAATGCAAAAGAACGCGACTAAAATATGAAACATAGAATGATTACAGAGAAAACATAATTACACCCATGAACCAAGCATCTGTTTGTCTGCTGCAATGCAGTGAAAACTACTGTTTAACTTTTGTTGAAATCTTATTAGAAATTAATAATAGGAAAACTATATTAAAACATTCATCCTTAATAGCCATGGGATACAAAAGTTATAATAGCAACAGATTGAACGATGACTTAGCTTCACCTAAACTCTAAGAAGCTAAATGTAATTGTTACAGTTTCCAACCATTTAGGAGTGGAGTCTAGAGAAGATGAAGAGGGAAAGGAAAATTATAGATACCTATCTCAAGCAGAAAAATGAGCAAAAAGCTCCAGTGGACTCAGATGAAGATTGGTAGAGACCTCTCCTAGAATCCAAACTGCATGTCCCAGCAAAATCCAGCTAGAAAAAGTGAAGAAAAGATTTTAAAATTTAAAAAGGTGAATAAATTGCAGGAGTGGGGATAAGGCTAAACTAGAAAGTAACTTGGGTAATGGCAAAACTTAGTGGGAATAAAGGGTACATGCAATTTTAAAAATAGGGAACAGCTTTTATATTTCACCAAATTTAGAGATGCCATCCATCATACAGAACAACAGAAAAGCTGTTCAAGGTCTTTTGCAAAGTTACACACCAAAGTACAACCATATAATTTCAAATTGCACCCTGTGAAAGTCAAGATGGTTGTCTTAGCCTGGGCACAGGCCACAGATGTCGTCTGGGTAACTATTCATCCAGCATCCCACCACCACTTTCTGATTGCCTAAAGATGACAGTGCAAGAGCCTTCTGTTCTGTATCACCACATCATGGAGGCTGACTGGACTCATCTCACCGTGCACCAGTATTATGAGCTTCACAGTAGAACTAAAGAAGTTTTCATGAGGTTTTTATCTTCTAAAAGAGTAATCACCTAGACCTTACCCAACTCAACCAAGTTGTTCCTTCATTCCCTTCCTCATGATCAGGCCAAGCCTGCTTCAACCTGTGAACCTCTAGAAGTTGCTGGATTGCAACTCTTAGCATGCTTGACCACTGGCCATGCTGAGGAGGGCTCAGGAAGGTCACAGTCCAGCAGCATCTGACCTAAGGGCTAGTACACCATGAAACGTCTGCAGTATGGACATGATTTTAAAATTTAAAAGGCTGGCGTGGTGGTTTTCTTGATGCAAGGTCATTGCATGCAAGACCATGCCATGGTAATTAGGTAGTTCCTTCCCTGGCATCACAAAACTGAAGACAAAAACAAACAAAAATATTATGAAGATATGGAGAAAAGGCCTCAGTTCCCATGGCAAGTTAAATGGGAAACCAACCTGGGGTCATTTGAAGATTTTTATATCTGCCACTCTTGGGAAAATATGTACATTGGGATTTGGCCATTCAGTGCAAGATACCACAGAATAGATAATATTGTGCAAGGCAACCTCATTTGGTTATTGTGTGACTAGTCTACTAGAGCCAAGAGCAAGAGCAAAGAGGTCATTGTTCCTTCTTTGCTGGGAAGAACATTCTTCACTGTGATGAAAACCTTTCCCCTCCTGGCCCATTTGCATGTCACTCAAAAGGAACCTTATAGAACGCCACAAATTCCAAAGAGGCTGAAGAAGGTGTTTAGAGAAGCAATCTAAAGATTGGGGTCAAACATGCAAAGGAGCCCAATTTCCAATTCCTGTAAAGAAAGAAAAAGAAATGCCTTGCTTGTGTGATTATATGTTAAGCCACTCAGGAAGCCTTTGTGGCTGAAAAAGAGCACGAAATACCACAAACATAGATTAACTTAGCATAAGGAAATTATAATGCTGTGACTCAGAAACATTGTTAATTACACAATTTCACTGTGGAAGAAATGGCATTTCATCCCAGGAGTTGCTCTAATATCATGTTATTTTTTTCTCCTCCTCTTTGGCTGCAATGTGTTGACAAAGACCTCGATGAGTGCCTTACAGGTATTCACAGTTGTTCCGGAAGACAATTATGTGTGAACACACAGGGATCATTCTACTGTGTCAACCACAGTGTAATCTGTTCAGAGGGCTTTGTGCTCAACATGGATAGAAAATGTGTTGGTAAGATGATAGGTGTAAACAGTGCACTCTGCCACTCTCATTCTTCCTGCCATGCAGTGTGTTCCACTTCAGCTCTTGTGCATTATCAGTCTGTCTATCTGCATTTGAGTCCATGAAAATACATGTCCCATTGTCTCCATTCTTTTTAACATTATCCATTCTGTGTTGCTTGGCTTTTGCCCCAGCAATACGTTGTAAGATCTTTATGAACCCACATGCTCCAAACCATGATGGCTCAACTCTGAGTTAGAAAAAAGTAGAAATGAAAATATGTTCTACTAACACAGCCATTTTATCACCAGACTTTGTCTGGGCAGTTGGAATTTTACTGCTTTAGCTTTGCATGGCAGATCAACTTTATGTATTTCTCCCACGAATGCAATGCAAGCCAGTGCTGTGAAAGAGATGAGTGAGCAGATGTCCCTAAAAGAAAGCGTATAGCTAATTTATAGTATTTGTCTTAACTTTTTGGTGTCTTTTGCCACTGTCTTGTCAACAGTCACATAAAAATATCCATGGCTTCAGCAATTTTAATCATAACAGTAGTGTCCTTATTCTGTGATGAAGTAGGCTAGCACATCAGTGATTTGAATGGAAAACTGATTTGTTGCACTGTTTTATTTATTATCTTTTTATTATTTAGATTTTTTTCAGTTTTCAGCTGGAAAAGGTTCCCAGAGTACCATACAAAGATTGGTAATAAGACAGTTGCTTAGATGTTGGAATGGCACATGCCACCCCAAACTCTTGTATGATTGCTTGGTCTAGAAATTCCCAGTTTTGATAAAATTTGATAAAATGGCTCTCTGTGCTGTAACATGGGTGCTTGAAATGCAGTAAGAGTATCTTGATTAATTAAATCTTAGGAAATTATCTCCAGATTCCAGACTATTTCTTCTGACCCTCAGTAGGGAACAGAGCTGTATGTGCTATTGAAGACAGAAGTCAGCACTGTCCTGGAAAGTAGCTACTTCCTTTCTCGTTCCAAAAGTAAAACTCCAGGAGGGACCCAAAATGGTTGAGTCCATTTCTGAGCAGTCATAGCTGGATTATCAAGTGATTGGGGTAAAGAAAAACAGTCAGATAAACTATTATTAGAATGAGAAATAATGCATATATTTTTAGCATGCAAAAAAAATGCTTTGTCAAAAATCCATGTGTGTCTTCTAGTTAGGTTTTGCCTCATCCCTGCTACAGCACAAATGGTTATAAAGAAAAGTGAAATATACATGATTGTTAACTTTATTTCTGCAACATTCCCACTGCAAGTGCTTCCTGTGCTTTAGTGTATGCGTGGTATATGGAGAATATTTGCCATTGTTAGCATTGTCTTGACTTTCTGGGTATAGAGAAAACCACAAATGTGATGTATGAAGATCAACATTTTTCATGCATTGGTACAAAATGCAAATTAAAATGCAGACCAAATGCTACTGAAAAACCATACATCATTTTAAGCAGCCTATAGGTCTAGCTAGAATAAGCACTGCACTATTTTTATTCCTGAAAGCTATGTATGTGTTTACTCCAGATAAGGATTCCGAGTGTGCATGCGTGCTCTCCCACAATTCTCCTGTCTTGCATTGACAAATGCAGCAGGCCACTGGCTTCTGTCTGGGGCACTGGCCCACAGCACAAGGAGGGACCACAGTTCAGTAGCAGAACTGAGGAGGTCTCCCATGCAGAGGCTTCTACCATCAGTGCTTAGCATCATGGTCAGGCTGAAGGTGATGTGAAAGACCCCTGCTTAAGCAGCTGCAGAAGTGCTGGCAATCAGCAAACTGGACTAGAGGGATGAATAGCCTGACCTTCCAGTACCCACAGTGGGAAATGCCAAATGAAATGGCTTTCAAATTTCAGTACCCTTCACTATTCAGAACTCTTTCTCTTTGGACCTGTCAGGCTGTAAATGGCCACCAAGACATTTTTGTGTGCTTGCTTTCTTGCTTGCTTGCTTGCTTGCTTGCTTGCTTGCTTGCTTGCTTGCTTGCTTAAAGCTGGAGTGAGCATCCATTTTGGCCTGAGGGCTACCCAGGGTGCAAGCACAGGCGTACTTCTGCTCACCCAACCACTTCTTAGTGTTCAGGGGAAATGAGGCTTAAATCCCTCCTCCTTGACTGCTGAAATCTCTGGATGGAATAATTTGGGAGGTGCTCCAGGCCGCATAGGGTTGTGACACTCTCTTTGGAATTCTGGCCCTCTTCTGTGCATTGGAACCTTCTCATGCTTGGTCCATGCTTGGGAAGCGAGGGTGCCCACAGAAGTCCACTTGCACAACTGGCAACCTTCTTCCATAGCATGCGCAGCACAAACAAAGGCTGCAAGTCATATGTGCAGAAGAGGGACACGATTTTTGCAGCAATCATACAGGATCAGTGCCTGGTGGGTGCTCAGACAGAAACTCAGCATGCTTGCCAGGAAGCTGGAGTTATGTGACAAGAAAGTGGGCCACAGTCTGGAGGGAATCCAGTGGTTTCCCACCCTCGGAGTGGGTTCCTCACATATCCCTCCCCCCACTTATCCCATTGAAGATGGCTGTTTCCCACCACTGTTAGCGGTGACCACATCTGTGTGAAGATCATGGGGAGGAGTGATTTAGAGCCTTAAACAAGACCACTGAGGATGTTTTCAGCAGAGTCAGGATAGCTGTGGAATTGGGAGGAAGTGGCAGTGGCTTTTTCTGTTATTATTCAGAGGAGATTGTTGTTCAAAGGTCACCCCTTGACGCATCTGACAAGGCGAGCCCTGTGTTCTGCCACAACACAGGTATTAATCAAGCTGCCACCAAAACCCTGGTGTTGTGCTATAGCAGGTTGCTCCTCTGCAATTTGAGCTTATGGATATCATAGATGAAAGTGCACTTGTCCTTGGAAATTGAATTTCACAAATATGAAACACCTTGCATAAAAGGAGACTGTTTCTTTCCATAGTTCCCTTGGGCAGTCCACCCAGTGAGGAAAACACTTTCACTGCCACTGGGTGTACGAGCCCACTGGCAATCCTTAATTGTGTGCAACAGCATTTGCTAACCTGGCGCCATCCAGATATTCTGGCCTACAGTTCCTATTATCCTTGATCATTGGCCATGCTACCTGAGGCTAATGGGCACCACCGGAAAATTTATTATGCTCCCGGAAGGGCATCACACCATCTCATCATGAGTCTGGGATGAGATCTGAAGAATAGCAGGCTCCATCTGGGAACTTGCGGCACTCCAGTTGTTGTTGGACTACAACTTCCATCAGCCATGGTAGTCAGGGATGAAGAGAGTTGTAGCCCAAGAACATCTGGAGGTTACAGGAACCAGCACAGAGTGAAATATTCATGGAGTGTGTGCATAGAGGCAACTGCAGGCTATCATTTTGTGATGGACAGACTGGATGTAGGTCTGCTATAAGCTACCACTTTTAGAAAGAATAAAAACAATTAATAGGGAGTCCTGCAAGTGCTCAGAAACAGTCAGAGTGATGTAATTGCAGTTCCTTTGTCTAAAGTGGCCCAGATGTTCACAGGATGAAATGCTAAAATGGAGTTGATATTAGAAAAACAATTTATAAAACAACCTTAAAAGATTTCACTTGCACAATTTCCATTCAGGTCTCGGGATATTAATATGGCCATATGCTTGACATATTGGGAGACCTAAATATTAGAACTAAACCTGCAACATGTTGCAGGTAAAACAAAGCTAGGACAGGCTGAATGATATTTCAGTGATAACAACAATAACATTTCAAGGAACTTTCTGTCCACGGTCCCTCTGGAGTGTTGGGAATTGAATGTTTTGAAGGCTGCTTCCTTGGAAGTAAATAAACATGTCCAGACTTGGGCCACAAATAAACTTTTCCTTGAACATTTCATTAGACTTTTTTAGTACATTCCTATTTTTCTTTAATCCTTGTTTCCCATGTGTCACATCTTAGATTTTCACATAACTAATTTGAAGAAGTTGAAAATACTTGTTTCATAGTGAGATTGAGTTTGTTTCTAGATAGGCCAACATTCTCCAAATAAAATATATTGCATTTCCTCTCACAACTGAGTCTCCAGATCCAAATGAAGTTAATCAAAGTGCATATCAAACCTGTGAAATTTCTTTGACTTGTATCTATGCCAGGAAGAGAGTTATTTTTAACTCTTGCAGATGGGGAAAATAATTGGAGGTGTCCTCTGTTTTCTTATTTCCATATCGTTCTAGCTTTAATTCAATGTTCAGGGTTCCTTGAGGATTCAACTTGTATTATATTTTATGCCATATGTAATCTCTGATGGCTTCTTGAGAATCATTGGCTGGGTTTGGGCAACATGATGACCTGCAGAGAAGGATTCTTGCCTTCCTCTCTTGGGCTAATCTCTGCCCAGCTCTTGGACTCTGCACAAGTGTAGACACCAGTTTTAGCACCACAACTCACCCAAGCACCAAACTGGGGTAAAAATCAGAGTTAATTGAAGAAGAGAGAGGCCCCCAGGATACAGAAAGGAAAAGAGGGAGGGCAAAATACATAGGTAGCTGGCAAATCAAGATCCCCATTTTTAGGCAGATAGGCTCCTTGGTAAAACCAGAAAACTAACCTTATTCTATTGTTAGCTAAAACAGGTCTCCTCCCAGTGGTGGTAACAGAATCATAGAACCACAGAATATTATAGTTCAAAGGGACCATGAAGGCCATCGGGTCCAAGCCCCTGCTGTTGCAGGACACCAGTTTACAGTATCACCCTTAGATGGCTGTCCAGTTTCTTTCTGAAAGTCTCCAGTGTGGGAGAGCCCACCACCTCTTTAGGCAGCTGGTTCTACTGTCGTATTGCTGTGACAGTGAGGAAGCTTTTCCTGATGTCCAGCCTGAATCTGTGTTGTCGCAACGCGAGTTGAGTATTCTGTGTCCTGCTCTCAGGGACCATCGACATCTTGACCCTCCTCTTTGTGACAGTCTGAAGTACTTATAGGGGGATATCAACCCCCCCCCCCGCCCCCATTAGTCTTTTCTTCTTAAGGCTGAACATGCCCAGTTCTTTCACCCTCTCTTGGTCTTGGAAGTTGGTCAGATGAAGTGGGTCACTTCCAACATAGTCGCAATTGAGAGGGAGACAGGGGCCCCCCAGACGTTCAGAGGTTTGACCTCATAGCAATGGGGCAATGCCTGGCAGCCAATCCCAAGAGGCCCCGCTCCCTCGCACTCTCCAGCTGCCAGCAACATACACCTCTAAGGATTAGGGCAATACCATTGGCCAGATTTCCTTGGCAGGGACTCGCCTCTTAGATAGGCACTGGTGCATAAATCTCTCCTTCCCTCCCTCCTAGTGCCAGGAGTATCTCCTGGGCTAACTGTTTCATTAATGCTTTCACCTTCCACTCAGGATCTTTGCTGCATTTCATTTTCAGGCTTGTTAACAGTGCAGGGCGGTTACTGGGGTCAATCATGGTGCAAACATCCACCCTTGACATATAAGAACCTGGAAATCCCACTTCCCCTGCAGGCTAAACCCCCTGCAGTCTTCCAGCTCCTTTGTGCAAGTATTGCTTGAAAAGACTGGTTGTCATCATTAGATTTAACCATATGAAGCTTACATTAAAATGGCGACAATTGAAAGGATTAATTTCCACATTAAATTCCAGAGCCTCCAAGGCCCAGAGCATGGATCCTCTTCAAGCCCTGGTTCCAATTAGTACTTGGTTCAAATAGCCTGGTTTTCGGATGATTAGGAATGTTGTTCAGTGCATTTTTGCTGAGAGCAAAATTCACAGATTTCTGTGTGAATGGGATGAAAACACCCTGAGATAAAAATAATTCAACAATTCAAATTATTGAAAAATAATTCAAATTCAAAATAGAAATAGAAATCAAAACTGGCAAATTTGTCTATCCAAGTTCAGTACTTAGCTCTTCAAAGCCTGAGTGGGAATCCCTTTATTTTCAGCTATGTTTGTGGTACCAAATAAGGGTTGCCACATATTATTTCTAACACAGTACTTGTCTTTAAACTCTGACAGGTAAAGTAGAACACGGTCCCCTCTCACGTTGAACTGCTCAGGGCCTTGATTGACTGACTGGCTATGATTGATTGATTGATTGATTGATTATCACTTAATCTGCACAAACCGGATGTAAGGAAGATTTTTAAAAATCTATTGCAGAAGACAGTGCAACTGGCAGATGTATCCATCCTTACTTGGGTTATTCTTAAGAACTAGCAAAAGAGGCTGTTAACTTCATATTGCTTTCTCCTGCAGTCATGTATGTCCTTCGTGCTATGCTGTGTCCAAGTGACTGTGTCTTTCCAAAAACATTTTAATGAACATGAAATCTGAATTATATTTGCTGTCTTAGCTGTGGTCGGTCTGTGCATGATATTCCAAGATTGTGATCAAAGCGTTCTGAACTTCTCTGTCTAATCAGTTCTTTCCACTGTGACCTTGGTGAATAAATCATTCACTGCTAAAATCTAAAAAAGAATTATGTCTCATAACTCTACCTATAAACAGAAAGTGTTTTAAGCTACCCTATATTGGCAGGAAATTCTGCCAATAGCACCATGTAAGCATTTTCCTCTGGATGAAATTATTTCTGCTACATCTTTGAGAACTTTCTTTCTCTGGACTTAAAAGAGGCAAGTCCTTTACTATGTACGAGTAATACCGACATCTGTTTCCTTTTGCAGATATTAATGAATGTATAACAGATGCCCATACATGTAAGAGAGGGGAACACTGTGTCAACACAATTGGATCATTCACATGTCTTCAGCAACTCAGCTGCCAATCAGGTTATGAACTGAAGGATGGTGAATGTATTGGTAAGGCCAGGACTTCACTTATTTTGGGATGTGTGGTGATGGGTTTCCAAATGCTGAGTTCATGTGCTGGTCACATCAAGTGTTCTACATATTCCCAGGTGACAGAATCTTGACTCAAAATTCAGGTTTTCTGTTTTGTAAGCAGCACATTTAGTAGTCTATATATAGGATGACTATGTATGATCATAAACCCATTTTGTAGTTGTTTATATATACTATTTATAATAAGTAATCACAATTAAACTGAAGGAATTTTTCTAAAAGAAACTCTATAAAAACAGTTTACCACAACATTTTCTGTTATGGTTTTTCTACCTTTTTTTCTTCCAAAAACCAAAGTTGGCTTATAGGATCCTTCTCTTCTTGATTTTGTTCTCACAAAATCCCTGCGAAGCTAGTTAGGGCTTTGGTCCAACATCATCAGATGAGATTTATGGCCCAGTGGAAACTAGGAACTAGTCCAACATGCTAGTCCTAGACCCCATCCAACTGGTTTTCCAAGGGTGTAATTTGCTGGTCTCTTGGACGGCATCCTGGGGACCACTGAATACTGTGCTCCTCCCTTTCTATGGCTGGAAAGAGAGGGTCGCAGATTCACCCCAGAGGCTGCAAGTTCCTTGCAGTGGCAACAGGAGCCTCCACCAGTACCTTTCCTCCACTGTCTGTGCACTGCAGGATCCAGAACTCTTTCCTTTCCCTGATACATTCTTGAGAAGTGATGGGAGAGATGGTGACCCTGGAGCTGGCATATCTAGTTTCCCTCCAGCCACCCCACTCTATCTGCTGCCCTTCTGAATTCTTTGAATGAGGAGGCTCCTCACTGAAGTTTTCCCCATAGGATTGCTCTGTGATGATTATATTAGTTAACTGCAGTCTGATCCTACTCTTTGTTCAACTGGATATCCCCCTGTAGTTAAATGGAACCTGCATGTGGGTAATGGCAGGGCTTGTATATATGTCACAACACTGTAGAGAAGTCAGAGCCCTTATCTGTTAATTCAGCCACACAACAATACTGTGAAGTAGAGCATTGCTGTTATTCCCATCTTGCAAACTGGGGCTCAAGCACAGTAGTACCTGATTGCTCTGATGCTTCAGAAAGGTCTTTAGGTGTGATTTCATTCACTGAGAAGTTCAAATTCTCTCCAGAAACAGGGACTCCCTTGCCCTATCCCGTAGTTGAACTATTTGATGGTCCAGAGTATATTGCTTATTTTGGGAAGCAATGACTCCACTTCTCACACATCCCCCACATGGAGATGACCATGGCAAAGGCTCCACCTGGATCTTCATGTCTCTGTAAGCCCTGCTCAGCTTATCTGCACTGAGCAGAAAGTGAGAAAGATCCCTGTCCCCCTGTAGAGCCTGTACTCATCTGAAAGAGTTGCAAGTGTGTCCGTTCCTGAAAAAGTCCATCTTGAGTCCATATGCTGACCACTGGTCCTTACTTCTCCAAGGTAAAGTGCTTGAAGGGATGGAGGCAGCTAAGTTCTGAGTGCTCTTGGATGAAACAGACCCATCCCAATTTGATCTCAGGCTTAGCTTTGAGGCAGTCACCCTCGGGTGCCCTGACGGGATCAGGGGAGAGGCAGCGGGTGTGCAGCCTTATCCGTGGTCTTTGATCTCTCATTAGCTGATCTCTTGGGCCAGTTCTGTGCCCTGGATTTGGGAGGCACCCTATTGCAGAAATAGGGAAATATTGCCCTATTTCCACCCACAGGGATGAAAACACATTGCATGGGAAACTATCTGTCAACGTCCTCTCCAGAATTTTTGCAGTGAGGTGCTGCAGAGTACCATCCTCTCCCTCTCCCTCTCCCTCTCCCTCTCATATGTGAATGAATGAAGTCATGGGGAGCAGTAAATAGGAGATCTGGGGTGTGGTGACATCAGCATACATCAGTTGATCCTGTTATGCATGTGGGAGGGGGCAGGGGTCAACACAGTAATCATTCGTTGCTTTCCAAAGCTATGATTTCATGGGAAAGTATTTGTAGAGTGTAGTAAGGCATCTGCACCTGCCAAACAGCATTCCTTGGTACATCGCTGTTTACCAGACACATTTAATGTGCTAGTAAATTTCAAATATGCTATATTAAGGATTACAAAGCAGGTGCCTAAGTGGCCCTCAAGTTAATAATGGACCTCTATGCCTAAAATTCAAGCATCCCTGAAAGTAGTGACTGATTACTTGCTGTCATCGTTGTCCTTTTGCATATGACATTATATTAGGAGTCGATGAATTATTATCTTAAGATGCTTCACCTTGGCAATTCAAGTTACAACTGAAAGTGTATCACATGTGATTCTGATACTTAACAGCAGATCCCTCTCTTTAGCTTTGTGAATAAATGGATTTTGCAAAAAATGGGAACATTTGCCTCCCTAGTTGGCTGGCTTTCCTTCAGTATTTTTAAGATGGCTTTTGACATAAAATGAAGACACACATACTTTTTTAGTGTATTTAGCAAAGGACTAGGCCCAACAGCAGACATTTTGCTATGTGTGTGAACATCTACAATATAGAGAGTAATGCTTTTTAACCAGATCTGAGTTAAGTAGTAAAAGATGGTTGTGTTTAGGTATATTACATGCAGTGGTGATGATGGCCCTTACTGTAGCATCTTGCTGAAAAGTTATCCTCTGAAAGCGCACCCACAAAGAAGCTAAAAGCTGCTACAAAGGAATGAGAAAATCTTTGGTTAAATTAATTGGGGGAGTGTGTGTGTGTGTTTTTTTTTTAAAGATATTGATGAATGTGAAAGAGGAACTCACAGCTGCAAGATAAACTTTGTCTGTCAAAATACAAAAGGATCATTCTATTGTGAATCAAAGCAACGGTGCATGGATGGATTTTTACAAGATCCAGAGGGTAATTGTGTTGGTGAGTTGAGCTTGTACAATATATTCCTAAATGAATGAGCTCCAGTTATTTTCATATTTATAACCCAGATTGGGTCAGACTTAGTGCAATTTAAAGAGCCACTTATTTAGCTATCTGAAATCATTTTCCTTTTACAAAACTTAAATTAAATTTAAGTTCGAGTTATAGAATGATATCTTTCTAAATGTATTCTATATTTCCCAGTTACATCAGCCAGGAATGTGTTGCATGATAAATCAAAAGCCAAATGACAAGAAAGGAACAACAGCTGGAAGATGGCTCTCTGATTTACCGATACATTCATTCATATTCTTTTCTACAGACATTAATGAATGTACATCACTTCCTGAACCATGCAAGGCTGGATTCAACTGCATCAATACCGTTGGGTCTTATACCTGTCAGAGAAACCTCTTGATTTGCAGCAGAGGGTATCACTCAAGTGAAGATGGAACTAGATGTGTTGGTAAGGCTTAGACTGAGGAACTGGCTGACTGTCTGGATGGATTTAATGCATTTTAAAAAATCTGCCCATTACATTCAAATGACTTTTGAAAATCTTCTGCACATAGGTCTATCCCAAATCCCCATAAATGCATGGAAGAATGTACACTTCCTGTCCTTAACTGGTGTCTGGGCTTGTTAATGGACTGGATAAGGGCCAATAAGCAGAAGCTCAGTCCAGACAAGACGGAGCTGCTGTTGGTGGGCAAACTGCCCATCCAGTTGGGAAGCATTCAGCCTGTCCTGCACGGGGTCACACTCCCACTAAAGGACAAGGTTTGTAGCTTGGGGGTCCTTCTGGACCCCAAGTTGTCACTTGTTCCTGAAGTGGACTTGGTGGCAGGAGAGCCTTCTTCTGGCTTTGGCTGATTTTTCAGCTCTGTTCCTACTTGGGTAAGCAGAGCTTTGCCAGAGTTATGCATGCACTGTAAACCTCTTGCTTGCATTACCACAATTTGTTCTATGTGGGGCTGTGTTTGAGCCACACACACCTACTAATCTAGAATGGGGCGGCGTGGATTTGACAAGGACTAGACACCATTAACATATTAAAACAGTCCTCCATTGGCTGTGCTGGCTGCCTGTTGTAGTCTGCACCCAATTCAAAGTGTTGACATTAACATACAAAGCCCTAAACAGCTTGGGGCCAGGATTACTGAGGGAACACCTTTCTCCGGATAACCCTTCCCGATCACTAAGATCTTTGACAGAGGTCCTTCCCCATGAACCATCCACCAATTGAGAGGGGAATGGCTAGGAGAAGGGCCTTCTCTGCGATTGCACCTCATTTATGGAACACCCTCCCCAAGGAAGTACGACTGGCACTGTTGCTGCTTTGAGAGAGCTGCAAATTGAGGAAAGTTGTGCCTTGGAGAAATTTATGCAACTTTCCAAGTACACACTTTGTGACTGTGAATGTGAGTTCCAGAATTTGCAAACATTTTAGAAGAAAATGTGTGCCCAGGCACATTTGGGTTTGCGAACGGGACAGTTTTGAGTGACTTGCGGACTGTACTGGGATTTGTAAGTCTTGCTGAAGCTGAAGAGCAGCCCAAGCAAGAGTGGGGTAGACTTGCCTGTGCCTGTCTGGGGAAGGCAGCGTGTGGCTTGGGCAGGTGCATCAGCTGTACACCTACCCCGTGTTGTTCAATGCGCCCCTGGCTCGGCTGTCAAGCTGCAGGCTGTGCAGATGGCCTGGCATCCCATCCTGGTTGCTCAGTGGTGCAGGTATGGCAGTTGTGCTCAAGTAAACTTGCTTGTTTCAAGTCCATGTATCACAAATGCAGGCATGCGGGGTGATGAAGGGAAGGGAGCAGAACCATTTTAGCTGTGTGCTTCATGTCCAAAGCAATATGCATGGTCATCTCATAGGTGACCCCAGTTCCACAATGACCTAAGTCCCTGATCACCGCTTGTGGCAAGGACAGGCATAGTTGGGCACCTGCCAAGGACCCACTTCCTAGCAGGGTCTCATCGACAGGAGCTCCTTGGAGAGTCCACCTCTTCTGCACTGCACTCTGTTTGTTTGCCGACCTCTCATGCTGGTCCAGACCATAGCGGTGGAGGTGGAGAGAACCCACTGGATCATAGCTTGTCAAGTTAGCAAGTGAGGAAGCAGGAGAGAGACAATGAGGAGCAGGAACAAGTGGGCCCTATGACAGTGAGAAGGTAGTCGCATCAAGGGAGGGGGCTCATCAAAGGTGTCTTGCCCTAGGATCCTAAAATGCTCGCAGCTGACAACAGACCACCACTGTTCTTGTTCCATGGCATCTGCTGTTTTCTGCATCTGTCCAGCTTTGGTGAGCACTCATAAGAATTCCTTTAGAAACTTGGCATAATTTGAGTGCAGAAACCAGAACTGCCATCCATTTAGAAACTCTGTGGTTCTTTGTAATGTTAGCAAGACATCGTATGTGAAAGCACTGTGCCTCTCTGCTTAGGGTCTTAATGTTTTGGTGTGGTTCCTTTAAATAAGGGAGAAGAGCTAAAACCAGAACCAGGAGATGTTGTGGTTCCAATTTCCTCTTTTCTTTTGCAAGAGGCATCACTGTGGATAATTAGGTTTCAGATTGGACTATGGTAATAGAAATAGATCATCTGGACAAGTCCTTACAACAGAATGGAGTTTGTGCAGTTGCTTCTTTTTGTTTAGAGAATTCTTCTTCTCAATACTGTTCAATTTCTCTAATTCAGTAGATTGGTTAGCAGCACTTTCCTCCAATATTTAATTGAAAAATGCTGTAGCTATCATGAAATATGGTACACTTCTGACTGAATAATGTTCTGGACCTAATTAAAGGCAGAGCACATGGGAACACACAGTTTCACAGAAACTAATCAAGGGGCTGAACAAATGAACTAATGGCAACTAAAGTTGCTAATTTGCAGATTTAAATCTGTATTAAAATTAACTTTTTAATACTTCCTCTGATGCAAGGAGAAAAGCAAAGACACAGCACTTTAATAAACATGGTCATGCTTTCAGTTATTGATTCATCCTTTGTTAGCCTTATATCAAAGAAGGTAGACTGAAAAAAAGGGAAAACAATAAACCCCAGGAACTATTTCTAACCAAACCGAAGTTATCTATGCATTGTAATGCTACAGATACGCATTTAGCTAATTTGCTTATAAAACTTTCTCCAGCCAGTTTTCCCTGCTCAAGGAGATCAAATGCATTTACAAACATGTGTCTCTGGGGGGGGGGGGGGGGTTGCAAGCTGTCATTTGAACTCACCCGATCCTGTAAGTAGAGAACACTTTGCACACTTGCTCCCAGTGTCCCTCTGTCTGTCTGTGGGCTCCCACCTTCGGACTTGTGGGATGCGTCTAACTGCCTTCAGCCAAATGAGATGGAAGCTCTTTTCAGACTTTCACAGGTCCTTCAGACCTCCACAGAGTGGCGGCGGTGGTGGGACAGGGGGCTTTTCTGGGCACACTCTGCCCTCGCTTACCTTTATCCTGTGAGGCTCAGGCAAACATCCAAACAGCACAATACTATATCCAGAAGCCAAGAACAGGCTATTTTCATTTACTTTATTTCTGTGCTGCCGACAGTCAAATCTCTCTGGGCGGTATACAACAGGTCATAAAATACAATAAAAATATGAACTATAAATAACCATAAAAGCTTCATAATTTCAATAGGGATTTAAAGGCAAATTTTAAACAACTTAACATAGGACAGGTTCATATAACCAGATGTATTAAAACAGTTCATATAACCTCCCCCCCTCCGTGCTATTTCAAACTGTCAATTGCCTCAGTACAGAGAGTTGTGTGGAAGCAAAAATCGTGAGGTGTTTCCTATGAGTGGAGGGAAGCCCCCCATTACATAAAAGCTTATGCTTGTGTGAGCTAAAGATTTTAAAACCCCAAATTTAACAAGAACCTGTGAGTCCTCGGGATGTGAAAAGTGGAGATGACAGTTGAGGCAGGAAGGTACGTGAGAAAGAGGAAGGAAGGGGGAAGAAGATGGAAAAGGATTTTCAAGTCCTTAGCAATTTTTATTATTAATAATAATAGTAGTAGTGGTAGTAATTTTATACCATCCAATATATGATGCTTTTTGAGCAGTTTACAGCAATGCATAACATGCAATAAAATGTATATAACATATTGATATAATAAATGCATAATAAAATATACAACTTAATTTGAATCCTAATTTTAAATTTTAATTTAATTTAAAAACTTAAATAGTACAAGTTTAAACAGCCTTGTTGTATGTAAAGCAGTTAAAGGACTTGTCAGAGTCTTAACCTAGTGCCAAAAGGTTAGGAGAGTTGGCATCAAGTGGGTCTCACTGGGGAGCTTGTTCCAGAATTGGGGGATGACCACTGAGAAGTCCACTTCCTTGTTGCCACCAACTAAGCCTCCTTCAAAAGTGGCAGTTGGTGGAAGGCCCCAGAGGTTCACCATCCTGCCTGAGTAGACTGCAGCTGGGAGAGAAGTTCCATCAAGTATTCCATCAAGTTCCAAGACATGTTGAACTTTATAGCTTAAAACCAGTTCTTTGAATTGGGCCTGGAAACTTATAAGCAGCCAATGCGATCAGGCCAGAATTTGTTTTCTATGTTCCTATCTTCCAGCCTTTGTTATTAGGCTGGCTGCCATATTTTGCACAAGCTACAACTTCTGAACAGTCTACAAGGGCAGCCCCACATACAGTGCATTACAGCAAGCTAGTTTAGCGATTACCAGAGTACAGATTGCTGAAACCACACTATCCCTGTCCATATATGGGTATAGCTGGACTGCTAGCTGGACATGATGGAAGGCACTCTGGCCACTGAAGCCATCTGACAAGGATGGACCAAGGAGCCACCCGCAAGCTATGGAGTTCCACCTTCATGGGGACTACAGCCCTACTCAGAATATCTTGAACATCTGCCATCCAGTCAAAGGAACCACTCACCAACAGCATCTTGGTCTTGTCTGGATTGAGCTTCAGTTTGTTAGCCTTCACCTGGTCTATTGTTGCGGTCAGGCACCAGTTTAGCACATCCATAGCCTCATTTGCCGGCGTTGAAAGGAGAAATAGAGCTGCATTTTATGAGTGTATTGATGGCAATGCACTCTGGATGACAGACTCATAATTTTCATGTAGATGTCAAATTCTATGGGAGACAAACTGGCCTTTGAAGAACCCCATGCTGGTAAATCTACAGGGCTGAGCAGTATTCCCCAAGCATCACCTTCCAAAACTGGCCATCCAACCAGAGCCCCTTTTACCATTCTACCACTGGTTTATACCCACTGAGGTAAATTTAGTTGCTTCTAAATGCTCAAAGCAGGCATAGCTGAAATTAAGCAAAGTCAAAGCATCCCTTTCTAATTTAAGAAGACAGTTTGATCACTCTCCTAAAGATTATACTCCAAGTAACAAAATGCCAAGTGGAGAAAGCTCATTTTCAAATCAGAGATTTTGTCCAAGCTAGAAGAAAGGAGATCTTAAAAATCTAGGGGGCTTGTTACTTTCCTCCTGGAGCAAAGCCAGCTCCTTCTAACAAAATAGAGCAAATGTGGCTTTGGACAGGCATAGTTGCTGCTGATGTCCAAGAAAGGACGCTGACTTCATGCTTTCCTTCCTGTCCGTACACGCATGTGTAGCCCAGGTATGCGTAGCCCACGTTGGGAATCACTGCCTTAGCAGGAAGTAGGCAAAGGTTAGGTGTCTGTTTAAGGTCCAGATTAAGGAATATGGAATCTAGAAAATAATCCTAGAAAAAGAAAACCAGGTTGGCAGATCTTTGGCTACCACAGGACTGATGGGGTGAGAAAAGGGCTATCCTATCCCCAAGAAGAATTTAAGTGCAAACATACCAGAATCTTTCCTCAGAGACTCTGTCCAAAATGTAATAATATGGTACTTCTTAATTCTAGCTATTAAATATATGATTGATACCCGTCTTTGGGAGATGATAAGTGGTGCTCTGGTTAGGGAACCCAACTGTGCTTCCAGCTTGGCTTGTCTGCGTGTACCTCTGATTGTTCATTGTGTTGGGAAGTGATGCCGGGGCCGCTCCTCCCACCCGCAATACAGGCTCCCACCTGGAATAGTGGTACATGTCTAGTGGCCCATGGCAGGGATGGCTGCAACCATTGGAAACTTTCATATATCTTGGGTATATCTGGAGAGAGGAAAACGGTGGTGCAATAAAGCAAAGCCTCACTAGCAACAGAGGAGAATGTTGATATAGATGCCACTGCCTATAATAACATGAAGAGCACATCTTTTCTTGATAGGAGAGGAACCAAATGTAATGCTCCCTTAAGGGCCTTGCAAGTTGTGCTTTTATTTTATTTCAAATGCTGCTTCTGTCCACGAAAAACATATAACTGCATGAAACCATTCTGGCAAAAGAGAACTAGTGATTGCTCATTGCCTTTCCTGCAGCGCTAGGGGAAAAAATCATAGTGCCTCTGCTCCATTTTGCTTCTCGTGATGCAAATGTCTTCATTCAATCCAGCTTTCTGCAAACTGTGATATCCAGAGAGTGGCCATCAGCTTGGCCCACTGCGGTGAGAGTAATTGCTACCTTTTGCTTCTGTAGATGTTGATGAATGCCAGACTGGCGTACACCGCTGTGGAGATGGACGGATTTGTCACAATCTACCTGGAGCTTACCGCTGTGACTGCAAGATGGGATATCAGTATGATTCGTTCAGCAGAACCTGTATCGGTATGTATAGCACAGGAGAAGACATTATCGCTGATTGATGAGACGCAAACCTCAAGCCAATGTTTATGTGCTGCTGCTTCCAGCTCAATTATTAATTCCACAGCACCGAAGCTCGAAGGAGATAATAGACTTGTTTCTGAATTCACCTTCGTTCACAGTGACTGGCTCCTATTTTCATCAGAAGCAGTATTGAGAATACGTCCACATTTTATTTCCAGTGTGACCAATTGATTAGGGTCAGTCTAATCCAGTCCTTACTCATAAGTTAAATACTATTTCATCCTCCTTCTCTCTGTGTCTTGGATTGAATTCAGCATCTGTCTTCCGTGGGTGGAATGTCTCCTCACTGAAGGTGTTTCCTCCTCTTCCCCAACCTTTGCATCAAGGAGAGAGGTGATACGGGGTTTGAAACAGGGATTTACACTGAAGAATGCAAGAGGAATTCAATCTCCCCAGATTCCTTTATGTAATGATCTAACCTGTACCTCTTGGACTAATATGAGGGTTGGAATTTAGATGTCTTCCAGATTTCATACTCCACAGAATGCTGTGATGCATATGTTTAAGGACATATCTGGGAGACTATATTTTTTTAAAAAGAATCACAGATTAATGCAAAACAATAGATACAGTGATGCACCCTTCTTGTGTGTGTTGCAGAGCTGTGAGTTGAATTGTTGCTCTTGGCAGTCTTGCCCGGTGATGGCCTAATCCAGAATGAGTGTTGACAGTGCAAATCACAAGCAATCCTGCAAACTGATTCTGTATAAATAAATTAAAGTCCATTAGCTACACAAAATTGCCCATTCAAAGGGCTAATACGTGTGAGCACCGCCTTCCTGGCAGTGCATGAGCAGACCCTTGTCTGTGTAATCCCTTTGCATGACTGCTCTTTTGGGAAACTTTAAAATTAGTAGCATGTGCAGAAGTCGTTTGTAAAGCAAGGCTAACCCATGTGTGGAAACTTTTCACAAACATCTGAGAATGCAGAGTGCAAATACAGAAAACTCTGCAGAAGTAAAGGGAACATCCATTCCTAATAATAGCACTAATTGTCAGCTTCTGTGTTTCGACATTCATTCACACTAATTAGAGTACAATGTATAAGGAAATATAAAGACCGAGAGCAAAGCAATTATTCAAAGCAGCTCTGAGCACTTTTGCCATTTTCTTCTCTCCCTGACTCTCAGAACTGTTTTATCTTCACGTTCACCTTGTGTTCCCGGCAGATATAAACGAATGCTGGAATTATCCAGGCCGACTGTGTCAACACTCGTGTGAAAATACGCCTGGGTCCTATCACTGCTCCTGCTCCTCTGGCTTCCGCCTGGCTTATGATGGGAAGCACTGTGAAGGTACTTCGTGGCTCTTTTCCAGGACAAAAGCATGGCGCCACGCATGCAGAGGACTGCTGTCGGGGATGGTATATGAGCATCCCTGAGTATGTATGCCTCGGTCCTAGCCAGAAATCCGTGGTTTTACATGGATCAGACTGACAAAAGTGACTGGCTTTTATCTGTGTTGGCAAGCGGATGGTTTTATGAGCACTAGAGGTGACAGCAGACTTCCTGTGGGTTGTACTACACACTTGCTTGTGCAAAACATAAATAGGAAGGGAAATTCAAATCGGGAGGTTTCCACTCTTAAAGGCAGCCGAACAATCATTTTAATAGATAAATAAATAAATACTGTGTCTCTTAATATGCATTTCATTCCAAGGAATATCATGTTTCCTCACCCATGTGTACATTTTGATATGTAACTGAATGTGCATCATATTTGTGCTGGTGATGTGGCAAGTGATACACTCGTGTGAGAATCCTTATATGTGCAGATTTCTTTGGTTGGATCAGTTAAATAATTTTTGCACCTATTCTAAAGGTTAGTTGTTCCATTTGGGTTAAAATTAATGTGGTCGAGCCTCTTGACTGTGGTCAGCTTTAGACATCACCATGAATGCACTGTGCAAAATGGGTCCTTCGGAGGGGTTGAAAAAAATCAGAATGTATGGTAGCAACTACAGATGAAATCCCAGAACTTAGAAATGCAACAACAATAACAAGGCTGTCAGGAAAAATCACCAGCAATACAATGCTCTGCAATTCAGTGATTTATCCCTACAATGTGTACCTAAGGCTGCAGCCTGAGTGCCATTTTTCCAGGCAAACTGATTTCCCCCCTGTAAATTCACTCTAATTGAAGTACTTTGTACTGACCGTTCAGTCTCTTCCCCCTTTTCCTGTTCATGCTTATGTTCTCATAGTGATACTTTCACCATAATTCTCTTTAATCTGAACTGCAGTATTAATACATGAATGCTGACTGGAGACAGCGAGTTAGATCCAAAGACCATGAGCAGAACTCCATGCACAAAACATTGCTTTCCTTCCCCCCACAGAAGCCCCTTGCACCCTTCCATAAGTGGTTTCCATTGGCTGAGGGAGACTGTGGCGGGAACAGAGGAGCAGAGGAAGGCAGGAACATTTGGAGAATTCAGCAGAGCTTACTTGTACGAGGAGCCTTTCCACTCATGCAAGTTTGCCGCTGCCGCCGCTGCCACCTCTTCCTCCTCCTTTTAGAAAACTTTTCTTTGTAGAAATTATCCAATATATATAATTGGATAATTCATTTCTGTTTTATGCAGACCCAAGATATAAGCAATCTTAGCAGTCCTTTCATCTATTGAAACAGACACATCCCTTAATTGATATGTGGTCTACTTTCATTTACTTGTAAAAATCATAAAATTGGAGACAATATTGCATGTACAGGATATATACACAAGCCATAAAACTTCAGAATAGGCTCATCTATTCTTTATAAGGCTGGAGTGGTAATAGCATGTTTGAAAAAAATGCTACAATCTTTAATCTGTTAAAGCAGTAGATTAATCAATATTTGTTGATCGATGATCAACAAGCTTAATTAATGGAAGTTTGAATTAAATGCATGCTTATTTGTTGTTTAGAAGCTATTCTTGTTTTTTGCATTTTATAGTCATCCAGGGAAGATAAGCAAAACGTTACAGATAAACCTCCCTTCTAATTAGTGGTAAATGCAATATATTGAACCTTTGGTAATAAGTAGATCTATTACATTGAATTGGCAATTTATCCGTTATTTGACTGAGCAAATGAAGAATTCCTTGAAGTTTTTATTCAGTAGAGACCACAAAAATGTAATGCTGAATATGCTTCTTGGATCCTCAGTCAATTTTCAGTTTACAGGGAGTGGCGTGCATCTGAAGGATGAGATGAAACTCTGGGTCACTTCCACCCATATGCACAACTCCTAAAAAGAGCAATTATATCTAAGGCAGACAACTATCTTCCTGCCACCAGACACATGATAATTTTTGCATTAGGCAACTTATTTAGTGACTCTGCAAGGAGGCATTTTCGCCTTTTTTAACAATTAATGCTGGTCAGTTACAGAGCTATGCCAACTGAATAAATCTGATTTTTACACTCATGTTTTATACAGATGTCAATGAATGTGACAACAATCCCTGCAGTCAAGAATGTGCTAATATTTATGGCTCCTATCAGTGTTACTGCAGGCAAGGCTATCAATTAGCAGAAGACGGCCATTCTTGTAAAGGTACATTGCACATCTTTCTGTACCAAGATTGCTGTACGTTCCCGTTGAAGAACATTGTTGCCGTCAATGTCCTCATGTTTGAAATTGCTTTTATTCCAGATATTGATGAATGTGCACAAAGTGCAGGTATTCTGTGCACTTTCCGCTGCCTGAATGTACCCGGAAGTTACCAGTGTGCTTGTCCTGATCAAGGATATACCATGGGAGCAAATGGAAGGACTTGTCGAGGTAAGAATGAGATTGAAGTGCCTCAGGTTCTTAAGAGAAGCTTATGTCCTCTCATCACATTGTGAAGTAGTATGATCATTATGGTGAGTGAAATCATAGTGGCAAAACTGTAAGAGGCTCTATTTCTCCTGTGTGGTGTGTTGTGAGAAGAAAATGCAGATAGTTCTTTTGATTTATCTCCAAGTCTAGGCAGAACCTCCTGTCATGGGAAGAACTGGATAAGGGGATAATTTTGGAGACGCTTGTCCATTGTCGGCTTCTGTTGCATTTCATTTCTTGTCCAGTTTACTTGTTCAGCGAAGCAGGAGCTAATTCATACATATGGATTAATCTTTCCTTTAGTGTAGCATCAGATGATGACTTCTGGGTCATAACATAACCATAACATATGGGTCAGCCATCGCAGATCACCCTTTGTGGACCGGAGTCTTATATTGCCTGAAGTTGTCTCCAATGTAATGCTTTGCAATGGAGATCATTCCCACTTTGGGATGAGATCGTTCAAGTGTGGACCACATCTTGTGAGAAACAGCGATTTGGGAATTTGGACAAAGTGGGCTCCCCTGTTACAGCCTGTAAAGCTTGAGAATCTCTGAGTGATGAACATTCCCATGTGCTTCTTTAAGGGTTTGGCTCCAGATTTTGGTGAGCCTTGGGCAGGCTGTTCGTGGTACCCTCTGACTTCAGATTAGGCCAACAAGTGTCCCCATGTCACTGTGGCCGCACTGATGCAGCTGTCCGCCTCCACCTCCAACTGATAGTCCCAAGAATCAGGAGGTTATTGAGAGTATCTGCCAGCCACTGAGAATGGCTGACCTAGTCACACGCCGCTTGTGCCATTCTCATAGTGCACCACTGGCATTGTTCGATATGCAAGTACTGTTATGTTTAAACCGTTGTGTCTGAAACTGAGCACCTGCTTCTCTCTCTCTCTTGCGGTCTCTCTTGCTTTCCTAAGAGAAGTGCAACACTGATAGCATATTAATGCCAGTACAATTATTGCCTGAAATTTGGCGTTTCTAAAAATCTAAAACAGTTCTTACCCTTGGTGAAATGGGCAGTCAACCTAACTGGAGATCCTTGGATGTTCTTTCAGCCAAGTCATGAATGCTCTGGCTGATAGTCTTCTTAACTTTTCTTCTACTTTTGGAATAGGACCAAAAGTATTCTACCTGTGACATCTCTTGAAACCCATGCATGGGTGTAATGTTTGGTGGTGGTGGTTGTGTTGTTCAGTCACACAGTCGTGCCTGACTCTTCACAACCCCATGGACCACAGCATGCCAGGCCCCCTGTCCTCAACTATCCTCCACAGTTCACCCAAATTCATGTTCATTGCATCATTGACACTAGCTAAGCATCTCATCCTCTGTCTTCCCCTTCTCTTTTTGCCTTCAATCTTTCCCAGCATAAGGGAAGATTGAATGCAAAAAGACTCATTGGGTCTTTTCCAATGAATCTTTCCTTCTCATTATGTGGCCATAATATAGTAGTATGAATATAGTTGTTGCTAATTGCGAAGTCATATCCGACCCATTGCGACCCCATAGACAACATTCCTCCAGGCCTTCCTGTCCTCCGCCATCCCCCGGAGTCCACTCAAGCTCACACCAACTGCTTCAGTGACTCCATCCAGCCACCTCATCCTCTGCCGTCCCCTTCTCCTTTTGTCGTCAATTGTTCCCAGCATTAGACTCTTCTCCAGTGAGTCCTTCCTTCTCATTAGGTGGCCAAAGTATTTGAGTTTCATCTTACTTACTTACTTACTTACTTATTCCATTTATATACCACCCCAATAGCCCAGAGGGCTCTCTGGGTGGTTTACAAACATTAAAACCCCACCAATCCTAAACAAATAAATAAATCTCCAGTATCTGGCCTTCTAAAGAGCAGTCAGGGTTGATCTTCTCTAGGACTGACTGGTTTGATTGCCTTGCAGTCCAAGGGACTCGCAGGAGTCTTCTCCATCACACAATTCAAAGGCCTCAATTCTTTGGCACTCAGCCTTCCTTATGGTCCAACTTTCACAGGCATACATTGAAACTGGGAAAATAGCCTTGACTATACGCACTTTTGTTGGCAGGGTGATGTCTCTGCTTTTTAGTATGCTGTCTAGATTTGCCATAGCTTTCCTCCCCAGGAGCAAGCGTCTTTTAATTTCTTGGCTACAGTCCCCGTCTGCAGTGATCTTGGAGCCCAGGAAAATAAAATCTGTCACTACCTCCATTTCTTCCCCATCTATTTGCCAGGAAGTAAGTGGACCAGATGCCATGATCTTAGTTTTCTTAATGTTGAGTTTCAAGCCAACCTTTGTGCTCTCCTCCTTTTCCCTCATCAGGAGGCTCTTTAGTTCTTCTTCAGTTTCTGCCATTAGATTGGTATCATCTGCATATCTGAGGTTGTTGATATTTCTCCCAGCAATCTTAATTCCAACTGGTGATAGTAGACATGCCTAAATTGCATGGACAGTATCCACAGACTTTGGGGAGATACTGACCGCATGATTTGAGCACGTTGGATTTCCAGCACATGAAGCCCATCTAAAAATTACAACCATGTGTGAACTCCAGAGGTCCTGAGCATTGCACACTTTGGCCCTATGAACGGAATAAGATCTGATCTCTCTTCACCACCATGTGTAGGGCAAATGGAAGGGAAGGGGGAAAAGCAGGTTTTTATCCAGGATATTTTCCCCTGAAATCAAGAGAATGTCTCTTCTCTCTTCTCTTCTCTTCTCTTCTCTTCTCTTCTCTTCTCTTCTCTTCACTGTTCCATTTCATTCATGGTCTTTTTACGGCTTAGTGAATTCAAGCTGATCTGTTTGAACTGGCATGGTAGATTTTTATGTTATGGATCATTGTTTTCAAAGTTGTGTGGTAAAGCTTCAGAGAGCCAAGATGGAGAAGTAAATCATTTTGTGACCATATGGAAACAATTTACTTTTTTACCTAGTTTTAAGAATCAGCAAGAGGGGGCTTAATTTACTTTACTTCGCTTTGACTTTATATTTAATTTTTTCCTTGGGCTTTTAAACCAAGCCACACTTCATGCAAGAGCAATTCTAGACCCTCGGGGAAAGCTACAGTATTTCTTTAGGAGCCTGTCTCCTGTATGACAACTGGCAAATTTTACCACAGTACTTTGCCACATGGATTGTCTGTTAACATTTATTTTATTCACAAACCATTGAAAGCTGTCTAGACATTTGAGAATTTTCTGTGTGGCTACAAAAGCTGAGCCCAGTTTTTTTTCCCCTTGCTGGAATTGGATCCACTGCATCTGGTATTCCATATCTTTAGAACCATGGCTTAATATTCTGTCATCTTATTGTTCAAGAATTGTTCTTGTGCCCAGTTACAAAAGGGGCCTTTAATTCTGACTTAAGCACATTATGCAGAAATAAATTCATCTGAATACAATGGAATTGCAGTCAGCTCAAATATGCTTTTCGGAGCTTTGAAAACAAATCTTATGTGATGCTCCCAACCAAATGAAGATGTGATGTGTCCAAGTGAAAGGCAGCTCCACAAAGAGGAAAAAGTCCAGACCTGCATGAGTAAACCCACCCATAGAGGTTCCTACATATGTGAAAAATTACGGCTGTTGGTTGTCTTTTTGCATCTTAATTGAGACACAGAGAACTCCAGTATGGATGGATTAATCTGAACAACTCAGGTTATGGATTTTTTCACTTTAAGGTTCATTCCAAACTATTTGCATATCAAGTTGGAATCTTTAAAAGTCCACATTATGCATTTTCCTTTGCATTTTATATACCCTTTAAAATATTGCATATTAAGTGCACTATTCCACATATATGCATTTTCATTCTTTCAATGATTTTCCTCCCCATATAGCAGGGGCTCCCACAACACCAGGGGGTGCAAGATGGCATTTCGGAGAGTGTGACAAAGAAGGTTGCATCTTGCCCCAACATTGGCAAATTGTGCCCATTTTTGCCAAATTTGTTATTCCAATAATAAAATTATTTCTTATTATTTTGTTTGCCTTTGGATTCTGTTCTCTTTAATCAACAAAGAGAAAATCCAGGAATTGCCTGAATCCACAGGCAGACCTGTGGATCGCAATCAGCAAGAAAGTTCCATATTTTGACAACATCGTGAATGAGAAGAAGGAACAAAGAAGTCCTTGAATTTTATGTTTGCAGTTGGGATTGATTTTACTGTTTACAATTTTTCTATGTGCTCAATTTATATTTGAATTTTATGCACTGAATTAAGCCCCCTTTTTCCTGAGTTCAATTTGTTCACCCACAGTTCAATTTGTGGTTCCAAAATTAGAAGCTCACCTCTTCATCTTCAAATGTGATATTAATTTAGTAGGGTTTACAAACATAAATCAAGCATTTTCTAGGAGTGTGGGGCATAGAGAAGGTTGGCAACCACTGCCATAGCTATATGAATTTTGTGCTTTTTATTGGAAATTTATATTTTTGAAGCATACATATTTCATGTGCCTTTTTAGTTTTATGTTTTGTTATTTGCAAACTATACCACACAGTTCTAGTGACATTAATTTTTCACAGAAAACACCTGTCAAGAAGGCAGGCTTAATGCTGTGGCAAAACTCATTCCTCCTTCTGTTAACAGAAAAGTACATATCAATATTTTCCCATTGTAACTTAACTTTTTCATTAACAAAAAGTCTGTTTGTACAGGTTTTTTTTTTTAGGGGGAGGTGTGAATTTAATAAAGTTGCAGCTACACTGTTTTGTAATGGTGTTATGTAATCTTCCCTATATATTTTATTCCCAGATATTGATGAATGCGCTATGGGAACTCACAATTGCACTTCAACAGAATCTTGTTACAATATCCAAGGCAGCTTCCGATGTCTTTTGTTTCAGTGCCCACCAAACTACAGAAAAGTGTCTGATATGTAAGTCCAATCCAAGTCCCCACACTGTCCTCACCAAATCTGCAACAGCTAAATCACTATTTTAGCTTTCTCTGCAATAATTATTTTGTGTGATCATTAAAGCTTTGATGTACCACTCCTCCTTCTGTTGGAGGTTACCTGTACCTTTTTCAGAGGTCGTTGGATAATTATTTCCAGAAACTCCAGTACTTGCTTAATTTTGAAATGACTCGCATCTTTTATTAAGGTCAGCCTTCACAACCTGGAGATATAGGTTGCTGTGATGTTCCTGTTACAGCTGGTGGAGTGAGGTCTGAGGAGCTTTGCCAAGGACATGGCATGCAATTCTTGCAGGCGAAAACTCTAGATTCCAGGTCTCCTAAACCCTGGTTTGACTATTTCCACAGGACTTACAGCGATTCCTACAGAGAAGAACAAGTCAAATCAAAATGCTGCTCAATTAGATGTGCCTGTTCTATGAACTACCCATAGAAATAATATGAAGGATTATATATTTTTTTTTACTCTGGATCCCCTTCAATTAAAAAAAATGAAATTTGAAATCTTAAAAACAACTGTAAAATTTTAAAACAACAGAAACAGCAGAATTAAGAGGGTCTTAAAATACATTTAAAATACTAAAAAGCCATCAAAAGTAAAAGTGCACCTGGCCTGCCTAAAACTCAGTAGGCCAACCTAAATTTCTTGGGGGAGAGTTCCATAGACAAGGTGAAACAGAAAGAGAAGGCCCCATCTTGTGTTCCCATCAACTAGCCCACCTGGTGGCATCTGAGCATCTTGAACTGCAGGCCCAGTCAGATGGGAAGAGACAGGCTCTCAGATATCCTGAAGCATATTTAGTTGGGTCTGAGCCAGACGGGGGTATTTTCCATTAATGCTTCTATGTCGTGGGAGAAGCACCCTGCCGTCAGAGCATTTCTCAGAGATGCCTGCAAAGCACAGCAGCCTCTCCAAAGTGAGTACGGAAAGCAACCCCGATTGGCTGAGGCATTGATGTAATGACTCATCCATTCATGAAAGAGCCACATCTAATTGACCACGAGGCATCGTGACATCATCACATTGGCTACATGATTTGCGAGGGGTTGGGATCGTTATTCCTAATGGCTGTTTTGTTAGTTTTTATTGGCAAGAGGCTGAGAACAGGCACAAAGAGTCCAGCAGTTGTGAGTGGGGGAGGATATTTTCCTGGCCAGTTTCTTTAAAGGGAAAGATCCAGCATATCAAGATGGCATGGACACCATGCTGCCTGCGCATGCTGGGAACTGTAGGCCTTTTTCTATCTAAACAGACACAGATTTGTGCCTTTACTGTGAATTCTGAGACTCTCAGTGATAATCTCTTCCACGTTGTTATCTCTAATACCATGTTTCAGTGCATCTTGTTATTTATTTTATATGTGAGGAGATTCATAAATTCTAACTACTTTAACCTGCTGGCTGTAACAGACCTCCATATACCACATTCCTGCCTCTTATTCCAGGTAACATAACCTGCATCTAAGTTGTCCCTAGACAGAATATGCTGCCTCTTTTTTCCACCCAGGCAATCTTCACTGTCCCTCAAGAGTTTGACATGGTGGAAAGGGACATTCCTGAGTACAGTATAAATACAGAAAAGATTTGTATACTTACTGTAGCCCATGGGTTGCCATGCCAACCAAAGCCCCCACCACAACAACTTCTTGTTGCATGAAAACCCAAAGAAGGTGAGTTGCTGGGGTGGTTAAAGAGCCAACCAAAACTCATGGGGATGTTTTTGGTTGCAGGTGAATTGTCAACCACCCCAAAAGCCATTCTCACCAAATTTGTACATAAGACACTACAGTATGTTGCTGGCACACCCCAAATATTCAAAATGGCTGCCACCAACACAAGAAGACTCACAGGGAAATCCATGCATGGTGGCTTCTTTGTGAACCAGGTCGCAATCGCCACACATTTCCTAGAAGAACATATGGTTCGAAGCAATACTGGATGATGAGAATCAAGACAGGTTGCCTGTCAATAGAACATCCATTGTATTTGCTGAAGGCCTATGCTGGAAAATCTGCTACAGAGCAATCCCAGGCTGAGTGGTGCATCCCAGAGATGTGACTGGAAACAAGGCCGCTCCTCATCCTAGAAATGTACAGCTTGAAATAAAAACAGAAAACGTGCCCACCTTTGTAAGCACGGCTCTCTGAGGTTTCATACAGCCTGGTCAGAACACTGCCCGTTTGACAAAACACAGATTCCTTATCCAGGCACCCTACACAATATGACTTTGTCTATGCTCCTCTATGTGTTCATTGTAGGGTATCCAGGAAGGTTCAGTTCTTACACAGTTGCATCAGTGTAAAGAGTGTTGAAAAAGAAAAACAAGCAGATGTTAATTGCACATTCAATGTTTGCAGCTCTGCTGTGTATTCTCCTAAAACATGAGAAGAGGTTTTCTGGGGCTCTGCAAATCAGCCAGATGTGTATCTTTTGAATTACACTGACTGCTGTGCTAACTATTTCCTTTCTCTCTTCTCTCAGGAGATGTGAGCGTATCAACTGCTTTAACTATCTGGAGTGCCAAAACACTCCGCTGCGAATCACTTACTATCAGCTTAACTTCCAAACTAACATTGTTGTCCCAGCTCATATTTTCCGAATTGGTCCCTCGCCTGCTTATGCTGGAGACAACATAATCCTTACAATCAACAAAGGAAATGAAGAAAACTACTTCAGTACCAGAAATCTTAATTCCTACACAGGCATCGTCTACCTTCAGCGGCAAGTAAAGGAACCCAAAGACTTTTTGTTAGATGTGGAAATGAAGCTTTGGCGTCAAGGAACATACACAACTTTTCTGGCCAAAATCTATATTTTCATCACTTCTCATGCATACTGAGGCATAGCAATGCAGCTGGAGTTTATTGGTGCTATTGTCTTTAACTTTTCTATCAGATCTGATGATGATGGTGGTAGAAAGTCTATATCTAACCTCTTATATTATTTTTCTAGCTCTTAAAAATCTTTGTTTTTTGTAAAATTAACTTAAAATATATTAACTCACCTTTCTTATAACTCTGGATTTTTAACTGTGTGAAAGAAGGCTTTGAGCTTTAAAGCAAATTTATGTACAGTAGTTATACTATGTTCTAAAACCTTCTGTTGGTACTGCACCAGCGACGACTTCAGAATCCATTACTTGGGGTGGGGGTATACTTATTTGCTTACTGCTGCAACCTTATATGCATTTACTGGGCAGTAGGCCCCATTGACCTCAATTGGATTTATTTCTGAGCAGACATACACAGGGTTGCACTCGAAAAATTCAGAGGGGGCACTGAAATCAGCTGGACTAGAAAAGGGACTTCAGTGCCACTGGACTGGGCAAGCAGGTGCAAGTTCCTGCCCTTGAAAATGCCTGAAGCATAATTGCACAGCAGGCAGGCAGGCAGGCAGATAGCATGTGACCTCCTTTCATCTTCTAAGTTTCTTCCAGTACAGCTTCTCAAGGGAAAAGAAAACCCTGTGGCAGAAGATGCATGAAGATACTTTGGTAGAACTCACTCTGCTGTAAATGCACTGCGGAGTCAGTATTTATAGTGATATCTTTCTATAGGCCAACAGAGAAATCAGATGCTGGGGTATTGTCCCCTTCCTATTCACAGTACCTATAGCTGCATCCTCCTCTTACTGCAGCTCAGTTAAATGGGGCAGCAATGGGGCAGGTCTGGTGGTGGAAATATCAACCTTTTGGGCAACAGAGTAAAGAGAGACAAGACAGCCATATGCATGTTTGAGTTGCTAGAATGCCAGAGAAAACTGCTGATGTCAATATAGGCTTCACAACCAATTCACAGCACGACGAGCTCTTATTATGTATTTAATATATCCCCTGGCTTTTGAGTAGGAGTACTGGTTCTGGTGCAAGAATGACACAGTCTTCTCAGCCACTTTGGTGATGTCCAATGTCTAGGAAAAGCCCCCTGGGCAATTTTCATAGTGTCCAGAAGCTATGGAGGTACATAGAAACATAGAAACAGAGCGAGTCAGAAGGGGTCTCCCGGGCCATCTAGTCTGACCCCCGGCTCCAGCCGGCTCCGCTCACGACATGCCCACCATGTGGACGTCCAGCCTATCCTTGAACACCCTCACCGATGGGGCCTCAACCACCTCCTGGGGAAGCCCATTCCACACCCTCGGGGTCCTGACTGTCAGGAAGTGCTTCCTGGCGTCTAAAGGGACCTTGGCTCCCAGAGCTTTGCTCCATTGGAGCGCGTTCTGCCTTCCTCTGCAGGGGAGAACAGGTCTCTACCCATCTCCATGTGACATCCCCTCACATACCTGTATGTTGCCAACAGATCCCCTCTGAGTCTCCTCTTCTCCAGGCTGAAGAGACCCAGTTCCCTCAATCTCGCCTCATACCGCATCCCCTGCAAAACGCCCACCAACCTTGCGGCCCTACGCTGCACTGACTCCAACCTGGCTATATCCTTCCTGTAATGAGAGGCCCAAAACTGAGCACAATACTCCAGTTGTGGGCGCACCAAGTCGTATAGAGTGGTCATCTGCATTTTAGAGATGTAACTCCAGCACAGGAATTCAGTGCCAGCCTTTGCATGGCAAACATAATTGCGCTTTCTACAGGAAATGGGTCAGGAGTGGGTATCGTGCACCTGGTCTTTTCTGCTGCTGTGCCATTGCACGGCATTCTCTTTCCGCTGGATTGGGTGGGCCCCTTTAGGCATTTCCCCCTTGCCCCCTGGTGCTGAGAGGAACTTGTGCCTGGGCGGCCTTCTTTCCCTGTGCCTTGAGCATCACCAGTTTAGGATGAAGCCCTCCAAGGGCACTTTGCCCAGGAGCCGGTGCTGATGCCTGAACCACCTGGGTGCTGTGCCCATGCAGTAATTGTGGCTTTGTATAATTCGGGTGGCAGGATGCAGAAGAAGACAGGGCTCCTGCATCTGTGATCACTCCCTTTAAAATTCTCGCTTCTAATCTACCCAATAGGAAAGGTGCAGGAGCCCTCCCTTCCTGTGCATCTGCAGAGCAGCCCTTAAATGCTCAGAGTTCTTGGTTGGGGTGCCAGATTGATGTCCAGGCTACAATTCCATTGAGTGGGTCCTAGTTCTGGGTGGATTTTACCATCGAACGGCTTTTCTCTCTCATAAATCATGAATAGCTATCTATTAACATAGCCCTCTGTCTAACTTACTTGGGCCTAACTTGGAGGGATGATTTAAACTTAAATATTTTTGAAGCTCTTTCAGAACTAAGGCTATGGGGGGATGTGTTCTGTTTTCTTGATGAAAATTACATCATAGTTTGAGGCACTTGCCCAGTTTTGCATTTAAAGGCAGTTCTGAAGGAAGACATTATTTTCAAGAAACTTTAGGTGCAGACAAGATGTATTATACTCTTTCGAGGAAATGCCAAAGATGAAGTATGCCAAACCAAAGATGCTTAGAATTGTTAAAAACACCCTATCGAATTGCATGGTTATGCAATTAGAGCATTAAGATAAAACTTGAAATAAATGAATAGGATTTATTTTCTTTTTTTCCAGCTTGAATCACATGGTGAAAGTGGGAAGTTATTTGGCAGCTTGTATAGACCATATATTATAGTAATAGCACACTGCAACTTTTTAAATCGTTTTGTATTTCTTTTATATAAAAAATGGATGAGGTCTAAATCCATGGGCCACATGCAATAATGGGTAGTATCAAAAGTTTTGTGGAAATCTACAGGTGAACAGCAAAATTTAGAAATAAATATTTTTTTTTTAGATAAAAGATTCTTTAGTGCTGAAATTATTGATCATCTTTTAACACAGTTATACTTCATCTATCCAATTATTGTTGAGAAAAGGGATGATTGTAGTTTAACCCTTTCAAAATCTTATACCGGACCTTGCTGTGTATGTAATATAAGGCACAAAGCTTTAGGGCCTTTTATATAGAAGAAAACAGCATTATGTGGTATTAGGAAATGTAAAATACTAATGTGTACTATGAATATGAAAAAACGTGTAAATCCTTCTTATGTTTAAAGGGAGAGAAAGTGGGAAAAAATGTTCTATCCCTGATCATTTTCTTCAGCGTCATTTTTGTCTGGATTTCAGCCCACAGTAAAAATAAGTATTGAGTTGGTGCATACTGAGTTGCATGCATATAATTTGGTTGAGTGGGGGTCCTTTATTTGTGGTACTCGGTGCATTAATGTAGACCATTTCTATATAATTTACTCTCTAAGGCATAGAATCCAAGCATTGGCAGTAGGATTCCCAGGTACTAACATTCCCAGGAAAGCTTTCTTGTCATTTTCAGGCTGTGCACAGATGCTCAGGCCCAGGAACATCCGTCCAGTCCAGCCATCAGGGTTCTGAATCTGGTCTCTCCTTGTCCCCAGCCATCATTTCATGCTTTCTGTGCTTTCTGGCTCCTGTGCTTCTTCCCCTCCATATCCCCTAAGGCTCAGTTCCCGGCAGTAAGAGCTTTACAAAACAAAGTGCTGCTATTTTTGATCCTCCCTTTTGTCCTTGGCCTCATCCCCTTAATGCTTTTGGCCCTGCCACCACTGCCATGTGCTTTCCTTGGGCAGATTGAGGTTCTGCACCCCTGGCTTAAGATAGTGGAGATTGCAAGACGCAATGCAGCGGCAGCAGTTCTGAGCATACTGGTGTGCTGGTCTCTTTGTCCATCCTTCCCAGTCAGTTTTTGGGGCTTTGCAAGCAATAGAGCAGAATCGGGAAAGGGACCATGGAAGACGTGGGATAGGATGGGCAGGGTCTCTAGATCTGGCAACCACAGTCTAGGAAAACTTGTTCTGGCCTCAATTCTATATGCACTTGAGGGAGCATTCCCCACTGCACTCATGTAACTTATTCTGGGTAAACATGCAGAGGACTGCAATGTTAGAAGGGCTGATAAAGCCATTTATCCTGCTCCCTTCTCCCTTAAATGCACAGCTATCCATACACCAGAACATAGACCTGGAAGATCAAGTGATACAAGCAGAGAGTGAATGAGCTGCAGCAATGGGGCCTACAGTATAAACAGCTTTAAACCTAACAACCCACAAGCTTTCTAGAGCTCATCGACTTGCGAAATAAGCAGTAAAATTTCAGGAAGAAATATGCTGATTGAAGAAATTGCCAGATTCTACCACAGGTGGCAGGCCTTGGATTTCAACTGAGGACATATCAGGCTGAAACAGACCAGAAACATATTAGGATCTGGCATGGTCCCAGATTTCAGTAAGCGCAAGAATAGAAAACAGATTCCAGAAGGGATGTGAATGGCTTGCACATCTCCAAGCAAATGCAGTGCAATTAAAAGCACATCCATTTGCAGCCCTACGGATAACCAGACAAGGAGGGCAGCATAGATGGAAAACTCTTTAAATGCGTTGGGCGATAAATGCATGAGGTAGCAATGGAGCTCTCCTTCGCTCGGCGCGAAAACCAGCATTTTCAATCAACATTAGCATTTGACTGAGTGCGAATGCCATTCAAGCTCCAGTGGTCTGTCCTGTTGGAGACATAATGGACAAGCAATTTGTAACGTAGAGACCTTCTGCTGACTCGAAGCAACCACAGTCAATCATTTGGTTAAGTCACTGGCAGTTTGCAATGACGATTCTTCATTTTCCAGGAGAAGTAATTGATAAAGAAAGCTCTGAGAGCGGATGGGGTCCCAAACAGACTAGTTTGCCACCCTGAAAAAAATTGCTAATGCTTCTCAAGTACTTTCTTTGGCAGATCTCTCTTCCGACAGCATATCCACTCTGCTTTTTCCATCACGGGGTTGTTCTGGCTTTAGTGAACATGTCAAGAATATACTACTCTCTTCCTTTAGAGAGAACAGAACTGGAATCTCCACAGCCACAGCTAACTTACCAAAGCTACACTTTTCAGAGCTTACAAAGCATGGCCATCGCAGTGCCGTTTTACTGTTTCACCAGGGAGATCCGGATATTACGGCTGAATTCCTTTTATACTCCAGCATATACAACCCCTTACCTCTGATGTGTAGCAAGGACAAAGTCCCAAAGGCCTCACTTGCTATATGGACCAGTATATCTGGGAAAGGTATATACCTTTCAATGGGATTATCCAGCATTTTGGATTACATAGGAGGCTCCCATGGGTAGAGAAGGCTTTCCTTTTCACAAAATCCCCCTCCATGCATACAGGGCAATGAGGCCAGTGATGGAGGGAAGGAAAAGTTGGCATTCTTCCTCTCCTCCTCTGTTTAAAAAACACATGCCTGAACAGGGAGTCTCCACATGTCTGATCTCTGCTGGAAGGTTCAGCCTAATGAAGACCAAGATGAAACGAATTTTTAAAATCCTGTCATAAATGGTGTAGGGTCTAATAAATAATGGACCTTTGTATGGAAGCAGTAGAAGTTAGCACAGACTGAAGTAGTATAGACTGCTGGAGAAGTTTCTTATGGTCAAAAGTATTTTATTTATAGGTTACTGTGAGTCTGACTTAACTACTGCCATCTTCAAGTGTAATCAAGTTTGTCATTTCTAGTTTCTCTAAAACATCTATATTTTAGAAAATTATGGAAATGTCAGAAGAGGACGGCATTCTCTGTTTATCCTTCCATGTTTATTCATCCTTAAATAGATGAATTCTCTGTGGCAGAACTGAGGCATGAGAACATCAAATATCACATTAATTTTCTCTTGTTGTATTGCACTTGGTTGCACCTTGATTTCACCAGCTGGTAAACAAACCGTGGGGATCTCACACTCCAGTGGTTCCTTCCCCCTTCAAGCAGATGGTCTAAACTCTGACAATGCTCCACTGGCTGCACGAACTCTTACAGCTTCCCACAGATGACCCCCTGCATGGAACACAAAGCACCTTTGCCCCCACATCCTGACATTAGTCCTCTGCCTTTGTATCCCTGCATCACCTACTTCGACCAGTTCTTTTTAAAGCAGTACTCAATGTCACGTAATTATTCCTGGCTTCTACTTATGTATGAGTTTTTTTAAAGCTCCCTGAATCCCTAGAGAAAGTTACTCTGGACCACAGGAACATGATGTTATTTTCTCTTTCTGTCTGCATTTGTAAGAGGTCTCAGCAGAGTA